GCTGTGCTGGATTCTAATTCTGAACTTTATACCATAGTATATCCCTGTGACAAAAAGGGGACACAACTAACTGCATGAGAATATGGTGGGGAAAATCTCACCCATTTCTTTGTCATTTCTATTTCATAAAAAATGAATACCTAAACCTATATGCCGCTTGTTTGCCGCCCTGGGCCGTATGGGTAGGGCGGGATATAAATCCCAGAATAAATAAAATAAATAAATAAATAAATAAATAAATGTGTGGCCATGGTCTTTCCCAAGACCACGGCCACACATCCCGGAAAATCTACAGCAACTAAGGAAACCTCTACCTTTACCTATCAGTCACGACAGCGACATAAGAGCCTCCCTGGTCAGGGGCAGCATACTTGAGCCAACCAATGCAACACAAAGACGTCGAATGTGCACAGTTTTCCAAAACAGGCTCGTTCAGACGTTATACCGGGACTGAGACCTAAAGCAGTTCTGACACAAACTGCAGATTCTGAGAGTCACCTGGATGACAAAGGGGTCAGGCTGACATTCCAACTCCTGGTCCTCCGTCACGGTGACCGGCCCTCCTTTCACAATGCTGCCTCCCAGAAAGACCTGCGACGCAAGAAAACCAGAGTCAGGGAGGGGAGCCAGAGCCAGGGACCTCGGTGGGGTACAAACGCCACAGAGCCCACCAGTGTTCCCTCTAAGCTGAGTTAGTGTGAGCTAGCTCACAGTTTTTTAGCCTCCGGCTCACACATTTTTGTCTCAGCTCAGGAAGGGAATGGCCCCAGAGCAAACTAATTTATGCAGTAGCCAAATTGCTCGCTCACAACTTTAATGCCAGCAGCTCACAAAGTAGAATTTCAGCTCACAAGACTCCACAGTTTAGAGGGAACATCGGAGTCCACCCTCCAAAGCATCAATTTTCTCCAGCGGGAACTGATCTCTGCAGTCTCGAGATGAGCTGTAATTCCAGGGAGTCCCCCAGGTCCCACCTGGAGGCAGACATCCCTAGCTGCCAGCCATGGCCTTAATCAAATCCTTTCACTGAACCTCAAAAGATGAGGGGGCAAGACCCCAAGCAGGCATGGTGAAAGAGAGTCAGTTTGGTGTAGTGGTTAAGTGCGCGGACTCTAATCCGGGAGGACCGGGTTTGATTCCCCACTCCTCCTCATGCAGCTGCTGGGGTGACCTTGGGTCAGTCACAAGTTCTCTCAGCGCTGTTCTCTCAAGAGCAGTCCTCGAAAGAGAGCTCTCTCAGCCCCGCCTACCTCACCGGGTGTCTGTCGTGGGGAGGGGAAGGGAAAGGAGTTTATAAGCCGCTCTGAGACACCTTTGGGTAGTGAAGGGCGGGGTATAAATCCAATCTCCTCCTCTTCTTCTTCTACGTCACTTGAGAGCCAGTTTGGTGTAGTGGTTAATTGCGCACACTCTAATCTGGGAGAACCGGGTTCGATTCCCCACTCCTCCTCCACTTGCACCTGGCTGGATGGCCTTGGGCGAGCCGTAGTTCTGATAAGAGCTGTCCTTGAAAAAGAGCAGTTTCTGTCAAGAGCTCTCTCAGCCCCGCCCACCTCACAGGGTGTCTGTTGTGGGGAGGGGAAGGGAAAGGAGTTCATAAGCCGCTCTGAGACACTTTTGGGTAGTGAAGGGCGGGGGATGAATCCAATCTCTTCTTCTTCTTCTAGCAAGCTGGTGCAAATGCTTAGAGATTTTTGTTTCCAGCTTTGGCTCAAGGGGCGCATGAATTGGAACCAGTGATGGTGGTGGAAGATTTTGTGTGTCTTCGTAACCAGGCGGGCTTTTTCAGAAACACACATCAAGCTGCCTTATACAGAACCAGACCACCGGTCCATCGAGGTCAGTATTGTCCACTCAGACTGGCAGCGAGCGGCTCTCCAGGGTCTCGGACGGAGGTCTTTTCACATCAACTCCTGCTTAGTCTTTTCCATTGGAGATGCTGGGGATCTAAACCGGGGCCTTCTGCACGCCAAGCAGATGCTCTGCCACTGAGCCACGGCCCCCTCCTCACCCTTGGTCCACGGAGGAGAAGGAGGAGGAGAGTTGGATTCATACCCTGCCTTTCACTCAGAGTCATACCCTGCCCTTCACTCGGAGTCTCAGACTGGCTTACAATCGCCTTCTCTTCCTCTCCCCACAACAGACACCCTGTGAGGTAGGCAAGGCTGGGAGAGCTCTGAGAGAACTGCTCTTTCTAGAACAGCTCTGAGAGAACTTGTGACTGACCCAAGGTCACCCAGCTGGCTGCGTGTGGAGGAGGAGTGGGGGATCAAACCCCGGTTCTCCGGATTAGAGTCTGCTGCTCTTAACCACAACACCAATCTGGCTCTCTTTTGTCTACTCAGGATTGTCTACTCAGACTGGAAGCTGCTCTCCAGAGTCTCAGGCAGAGGTCTTTTCACATCTTTTCATCTGCTACCTTTTCACCTAACTACCTGATCCTCTTAACTGGGGGATGCCAAAGATTGAACCTGGGACTTTCTGCATGCCAAGCAGAGGCTCTTCCAGGCCCCTCCCCACCCTTGGTCCATCAAGGACAGTCGTCTACTAGGCCTGGGAGACACTGTGCAGGGTCTCGGGCAGAGGTCTTTCCCATCAACTCCTGCCTGATCCTTTTTAACTGGAGTTGCTGGGGATTGAACCAGGGACCTTCCGCATGCCAAGCAGATGCTTTGCCACTGAGCCACAGCCCCTCTTTTCAGCTCTCCAGGGTCTCAGGCTGAGGTCTTTCCCATCACCTCCTGCCTGGTCCTTTCAACTGGAGATGCCGGAGACTGAACCTGAGACCTTCTGCATGCCAAGTAGGGACTCTGCCACTCAGCCACAGCAGGTTTCCAATGAAGTGAAGTTTTTTAATGGGGAAAGATCTTCCTCGGGGAGGTACTATTTATTTATTTACTCAGGATAGTTCTATGCTGTCTCTTCAGAGAACGGCTCGAGGCATCTTACAATTAAAGCAATGTAATCGTGTAAAGACAAGCCATTCAAAACAAACCCCTGATGTGTCTGATTTCTTTATTTAGAACACTTTTATGGCACCTCTCCAGGAACCTCCCCAAGACAGCTTACAAAACAAAATGATCAAAATAAAACCTGGTGCAGCGAACCTTCCAGCATCCGGAGCAGTTCTACAAGCTGGGAGGGTTTCGAAACATCAGTGAGAAAGGGAGCATTGCCAGGCAAGATTGGCAGATGAACCAGCCAATGAATCAGACTTACCGTCTGCCATGCAAATGGCAAAAAAAGGAGGAAATTGGGTGGCGGCTGCATGTGAAGGAGCTGCTGCAACATCTTTATGTTTTTTAATATATTCTATCTGTCTTCACCCTTAAGTATCTTTTAATATTCTGTCTGTCTTCTTCCTTGAGCTTCCTTTAATATTCTGTCTGTCTTCACCCATAAGCATCTTTTAATATTATTTCTGTCTTCTTCCTTCAGCTTATTTTACTATTCTGTTTGTCTTCACCCTTAAGCTTCTTTTAATATTATGTCCGTCTTCACCTTTAAGGTTTTTTTATTAGTCTATCCAGGGGTCATCATTTCGTAGAAAAAGAGGTGCAGGAGCTCATTAGCATAACTCATTAGCATAACTTATTTGCATGTGCCACACCCCCTGACATCACCAGAAGTGTGTCAGAAGGCAACACCTACTGCTTAGGCTCCACTGGACTGTTTTGGATTGCTAGCTATTGGGAGGGGGGGAAACGTGCAGATCTGTCCTCGCAGAGGAGGGAGAGCTTGTACCTGAATAAAACTTGGTCTTCAAGGTGCCACTGGACTGTTTTGGGCCAGGGGGCTCTGCAACTTACCTGGCTGCTTCTTGCCCTACCTCTAAAGGTGAAAGTCATGTGTCTGGTGCCAAATGTACAGTTGCTGAATTGGAACGTCTTCCAATTTAGGTCCAAAAGGCACCTGTGTGGCTATCGAAGTCAGAGCTAGAGTGTCCTCAAGCAATGTTGCCGTAACACGCGTGAGATAACGCACGGGGGAAGCGAGGCTATTTACCCCGGAGGAAATTGACCAGCAGTTGCACAATCACACAGTTCTTTGCAGCTGCGGGCATAGCCCACCACTGTGTGCTCAGACGCAATTGCGGGTGAGTCGTTGTCCCCCCCCCCCGTTTGTTTTCGTTTTCTTCTTCTTTTTTAAATCTCTTTTACTGTATTTCAACAAACAGCAAAAAAACCTTAAAACCAACAATCCACACCACAAACATAAATACCAACATAATACTACAGGAACTCTCCCTTTCTCCTTTGCTTTACTGGAGACAAATATGGAAAAAATAGCGGCTAGAGGGTTAACTATAATCAAGTTCTATGACATATAATTCAACGGAAACTCTCTAACCATTCTCATACATAGGACCAGTTTTTAGAAAAAAGAGATCCATCTCTAATTCTACAACCTCCATAAATTGATTAATAAATTCTTGTTTTGATGGTATCTTTTCCTGTTTCCATGTTTTTGCAAATATAATTCTCGCAACTGTTAAGACATGTACAAGCAGATATTTTTCTAGTTTCTGTAAATTATCAGGTAAAAGATTTAATAAAAAATATTTCCGGTTCTGACGGTATTTGTCTGCCTATAATTTGTGTAATAATATCAGGGGTCATTTCCTGCAGGAGCGCACAGGAGTGGAGCTCCAGCAGTAAAGAGCCCAGGGGGCGGGCACATGCAACAAGCCCCACCCCCTGCTTCCAGCAGCCCTCAGTCAGAGCAAGAAGCAGCCAAGTAAGTTGCAGAGCTCCCCCCGGCCCCCTGGTCCAAAACAGTCCAGTGGCACCTTTAAGACCAAGTTCTATTCAGGTACAAGCTCTCCCTCCTCTGTGAGGGCAGATCTGCACGTCCCCCCCCCCAATAGCTAGCAATCCAAAACAGTCCAGTGGAGCCTGAGCGGTGGGTGTGGCCTTCTGACACACTTCCGGTGATGTCAGGGGATGTGGCATATGCTAATGAGTTATGCTAATGAGCTCCTGCACCTCTTTTTCTACAAAATGACCCCTGAATAATATCATAAATATCCCCCGTTTGTTTTCGATTCGTTTAAACGGAGGATCAATTAATCGCCTCTCCGCACTGAGGGCTTCCTACGGCAGTATGCGATGATGCGCATACTGAGGAAGAGGAAAACAACGGCACGGAGTCGGGATGGCCTGAGCAGACCATCCCGATGGCACGAGAGCACGCTGGAGCGATCACACAGCGGAAAGTCCATCTGTGGCCCGTAGCAACCCGTTTGCTACTGGACTTTCCCCCCAGTGTCTTTTTACTCCGCTTCTTCGGCAGAGAAAACCGGGTTGCCCACTGGTGCTGGACGCTTGCCAGATGTTCCCGTGTGATCGCGCCCTTAAAATCCGCCTGCCGTTCGTGCCTGTTGCGCGGCTAATTCTGCGTGTGATCGGGACCCAGATAGCCCATTTTGTGGCACTCCATGAAATTGCTGAGTGGTCGGGTTAGAACGGATAAAAGGAAGTACTTCTTCACCCAAAGAGTGATTAACACACGGAACTCACTGCCACAGGAGGTGGTGGCGGCTACAAGCATGGACGGCTTCAAAAGGGAATTAGATAGGCATATGGAGCAGAGGTCCATCAGTGGCTGTTAGCCACAAGGTATAGATAGGGGCTCTGGGGCAAGTGATGCTCTGTCTTCTTGGTGCTTGGGGGGGCCAACAGTGGGAGGGCTTCTAATGTCCTGGCCCCACTGATGGACCTCCTGATGGCACCTGGTATTTTTGGCCACTGTGTGACAGAGTGCTGAACTAGATGGGCCTTTGGCCTGATCCAACATTGGCGTCTCTTATGTTCTTATGTGTCAGAATTCCAAAGGTGCTCAAAGGCTCAAGAATGTTCGGGAGCCCCGTTCTAGGCTGATCTAATGAACACCTCGACGCTGAAGGTCAGAAATTGAAAGGTGGGATAGAAATACTCTAAATCCTAAAAAATCAGTAAGACAGAATGTGTCTACTCCCCAGAATTCTCCGCCGCAGTCCGCTTTTACCTGGCCCGCCAGTTTGGGCTTCTGAGGGTTACTGATATCATACTGGCGAATGTCTCCGTGGAGCCAGTTGCTGAAATACAAGTACTTGTCGTCCAGGGAGATAAGGATGTCCGTGATGAGACCTGGGGGAGAATATCGCAGAGGGTTATGGGCCCATTCACAGAATCATAGACTGAACCTGCCGCAATCTATCAGAGTCACCTGTTTGGTGAGCTAAAACAGGAAGCCACGGCCGTCGGTTGACAAGGCCCAAGTGAGGCCGTGATCGACAGGATGTTCTGGAGGACATTAATTCACAGGGTCGCTATGAGCCATAAAGAAAAAGGAGACTGGATTTATATCCCACCCTTCATTACCATAAGGAGTCTCAGAGTCGCTTACAATCTCCTTTCCCTTCTCTTCCCAGCAACAGACAGTGAGGTAGGTGGGGCTGAGAGAGCTCTGAGAGAACTGCCCCTGAGAGAACAGCCCTGAAAGAACTTGTGACTGACCCAAGGTCACACCAGCAGCTGCATGTAGAGGAGTGGGGAATCAAACCTGGTGCTCCCAGATTAGAATCTTAACCACTACACCAAACTAAGAAACCTGATGGCAGTTCTCACACATATGTTTTATAAAGGGAACAGGACCGTAGTCTAGTATCCTAGAATCACAGAGTTGGAAGAGACCATAGAGGCCATCTAGTCCAACTCACTGCTCAATGCAGGATCAGCCTAGAGCATCCCTCACAAGGGTTCGTCCAGCCGCTGCTTGAAGACTGCCAGTGAAGGGGAGCTCACTGCTCAACTACTCTTCAGTTATCCAGTTTGGTGTCGTGGTTAAGTGCACGGACTCTAATCTGGGAAAACCGGGTTTGATTCCCCACTCCTCCACTTGCACCTGCTGGATGACCTTGGGCAAGCCGTACTTCTGACAAGAGCTGTCCTTGAAAAAGAGCAGTTCCTGTCAGAGCTCTCTCAGCCCCACCTACCTCCCAGGGTGCCTGTTGTGGGGAGGGGAAGGGAGTTTGTAAGCCGCTCGGAGACTCCGAGTGAAGGGCGGGGTATAAATCCAATCTCCTCTTCTTCTCTTCTCTTCAGCAACCATTTGCATGTGGATTTTGCCATTTAGCCGTTTCACACAGTGAAAGTGTTACAGTGCACCGAAAGCGGATTGCAAGCGCGGTTTTTAGTGCGTGTGAAAGTGTCCAGTATAGCTTCAGGTGTATAGTCATGAGAGACCTTACTGGGATATACTGCCCTACCGTCCACCCTCCAAAGCAGCCATTTTCTCCAGGAGAACTGATCTCTGACTTCCGGAGATGGGGTGTAATTCTGGGAGATCTCCAGGCCCCACTTGGAGGCTGGCAACCCCATGTGATGGATCTAGCTCTCACGGCCTTTCCAGCGATGGAGCAGCCAAGCCACGTTCCTCTCGTAAAGCCCCAAATTAGAACAAACTAATTCATGAAGGAGCCAAATCGCTCCCTCACAACTTTAATGCCGGCAGCTCGCAAAGTAGGATTTTTGCTCACAGGACCAGGGGTCATTTCGTAGAAAAAGAGGTGCAGGAGCTCATTAGCATAACTCATTAGCATAACTTATTTGCATATGCCACACCCCCTGACATCACCGGAAGTGTGTCAGAAGGAAACACCCACCGCTCAGGCTCCACTGGGCTGTTTTGGATTGCTAGCTATGGGGAGGGGGGGGGGAGAACATGCAGATCTGCCCTCGCAGAGGAGGGAGAGCTTGTACCTGAATAAAACTTGGTCTTAAAGGTGCCACTGGACTGTTTTGGACCGGGGAGCCAGGGGGAGCTCTGCAACTTACCTGGCTGCTTCTTGCTCTGACTGAGGGCTGCTGGGAGCAGGGGGTGGGGCTTGTTGCATGTGCCCGCCCCCTGGTCTCTTTACTGCCGGAGCTCCGCTCCTGTGCGCTCCTGCAGGAAATGACCCCTGCACAGGACTCCATAGCTTAGAGGGAGGACTGGTCAAGGGGTGTCAAACGTAAGGCCCTGGGGCCAGAACCGGCCCATCCAGGGCTCTTATGCGGCCCGCGAGCAACTAGTGCAACTTGCATGGGAGGGAACAGGAGACTGCTCAGGGGGGAGTAGGCGGAGCCACTATGTGGCTTCAGCATGGCGGAACAACCTCGTCTGCAGCAATCAAGCATCGTGGGAGCCTCTGCCCAGTGCCGCACCGCTGCCTCTCCAGTCCACTCATGTGGGTTTCCCTTTGCACCCCCCTCCCAGCCCACGGGGCCTTGCAGTTAGGATGCAACAACTCGGAGTTTACGAGCTGCTGTCCTTTATACAGTTTCTATCTCCGGTACCTGTCAGGGCTCTTTTTGTAGCAGGAACTCCTCTGCATATTAGGCGACACACCCCTAATGTAGCCAGTCCTCCAAGAGCTTACAGCAGCCCCTGTAAGAAGAGCTCTGTAAGTTCTTGGAGGATTGGCTACATCAGGGTGTCAGGTAGCCCTGTCATAGGTCTGGAATGTGGAGGGGTGCCCTCCCGTTTTCTGTCTCAGCTCTCCCTGGCTCACTAACTATCTTTTGCTTGACCTTGTAGATGCTCCAGCGGTAGTTTCCTCGGCTGGGAAAGTGAACGGCTTTTGCTTTTGCCTGCTTGCTTTGCCCGTGCGCGCGTGAGATGTATCCATTGGCTCATGTTTCCCGGGGGGATGTCTGATTCTAGTATAAGTCAGAGGCCCTAGTATTGGCGGCCATTCCTGACACAAGCTGTACACGTGTCTCTAGTTCTGGATTTACCAATAAACAGTTATCTTCTCATGAAGCCCTGTGTTGCGTAACCTAAGGACCCTGACACAGGGGTGTGTCGCCTAATACACAAAGGAGTTCCTGGTCCTGCTACAGAAAGAGCCCTGCCTGGAATTATGTTTTGTGGCACACACGGCCCGCCCGACAAAGTGACGTTTATGTCAGATCTGGCCCTCGTAACAAATGAGTCTGACACCTCCGCTCTGGGCTGTGGCCCTCCCTGCGTCTTGTATCTGCCAGTTCCTTATGCCTCGAGCAGAGTTGTATTTCACATGCCGGTTTCAATGCCCCAATTTGTGCAAGCGTAATCTTCCGTACAGGACAAGTTACAGGACAAGTTACACTTTGCAATGGGAAATCAGGCCCCGGGGCCTAAATCTGTGTAGAAAACAAAGGGGGCACATTAGCATACATGGGTAGATTTTGCATAATGTACTCAAAATCTCAGCGGCGGGGCCACTGCGGAAGAACGGAAGAGCCCCGCCAGATCGGGCCAGTGTTCTATCTAGTCTGGGGTTGCCAACCTGCAGGTGGCACCTGGGGATTTCCTGCTATTACAACTGATCTCCAGGCAACCGAGATCAGCTCCCCTGGAGAAAATGGCGGCTGCCGAGGACAGACAAAAGGAAAAACTTCTTTCAGTCAACCTCTGAATCCCAGTACCAGAAGCAACATCAGTGGAAGGCCCCGGCCTCTCTGCCCTGTTGTTGGCCCTCCAGAGGAACTGGTTGACCACTGTGTGAGACAGGAAGCTGGACTGGATGGACCCTCCCTGGTCTGACCCAGCAGGGCTCTTCTGATGTTCTTCTCAGGGGAAGGCCTCGGCCTCTCTGCCCTGTTGTTGGCCCTCCAGAGGAACTGGTTGGCCACTGTGTGAGACAGGATGCTAGGTTCGATGGACCACTGGTCTGATCCAGCGGGGCTTTTCTGATGTTCTTCTCAGGGGAAGGCCTCGGCCTCTCTGCCCTGTTGTTGGCCGTCCAGAGGAACTGGCTGGCCCCTGTGTGAACCAGGATGCTGGACTAGACGGACCCTCCCTGGTCTGACCTAGCAGGGCTCTCCTGATGTTTTCCTCAAGGAAAGGCCTCGGCCTCCCTGCCCTGTTGTTGGCCCTCCAGAGGAACTGGTTGGCCACTGTGTGAGACAAGATGCTGGGCTCAATGGACCACTGGTCTGACCCAGCAGGGCTCTCCTGATGTTCTTCTCAGGGGAAGTCCTTGGCATCTATGCCCTTTTTGTTGGACCTCCAGAGGAACTAGTTGGTCACTGGTTAAGACAAGAACTGGTTGGTCACTGTGTGAGACGGGATGCTGGACTAGATGGACCCTCACTGGTCTGATCCAGCAGGGCTCTTCTGAGGTTCTTCTCAGGGGAAGTCCTTGGCCTCTGTGCCCTGTTCTCGGCCCTCCAGAGGAACTGGCTGGCCACTGAGTGAGACAGGGTGCTGGACTAGATGGACCCTCACTGATCCACCAGGGCTTTTATGTTCTTCCTTACGTTCTTAACCCAGTACACGTTTTCAACTACTTTAAAATTGATGGGAGGTTGTCTTACCTAACGCAACAAAGGAAAAAAAGTACACGATACACAAATGGCACCTTGAGATTTCAAAAGGGTGGACAGGCAACGGAATTAGGATTTGAATGGCTGATGAGTCCCATTTCTAATTTGCACTGCGAATACTGGAAGACGCGGTGCTCCGCCCGTGTTGTGAAAGACAGGCTGTGACTTCTGTCTGCGGCACGTTTGTAAACACTGGTCCATTTACTTCTCAGCCGCCACAGATGGACCATCGGGCTACCATTTAATGAATAACCTACTGCAGAAATCTATTTTTAGAAGCCACCCCATCTACCTAGCTGGCAGATGCTTACGTGCGCATTCAGTGTTCTCAGGTTGCTTCCTACTTATGAACATAAGAACATAAGAGAAGCCAATGCTGAATCAGGCCAATGGCCCATCCAGTCTGTGTCACACAGTGGCCAAAAATACCAGAGGCCGGGCCCTCAGGAGGTCCACCAGTGGGGCCAGAACTCCAGAAGCCCTCCCACTCTTGCCCCCCTCAAGCACCGAGAATACAGAGCATCACTGACCAAGGCAGAAGAACATAAGAGAAGCCAATGTTGGATCAGGCCAGTGGCCCATCCAGTCCAACACTCTGTGTCGCACAGTGGCCAAAAATACCAGGGGCCCTCAGGAGGTCCACCAGTGGGGCCAGGACACTAGAAGCCCTCCCACTGTTGCCCCCCCCCAAGCACTAAGAAGACAGAGCATCCCTTGCTCCAGTCATGAGAACATAAGAGAAGCCAATACTGGATCAGGTCAATGGCCCATCCAGGCCAACACGCTGTGTCACACAGTGGCCAAAAACACCAGGTGCCAGGGAGGGCTTATGGAGTTCTGGCCCCGCTGGTGGACCTCCTGGTGGCCTCTGGGCTTTAGCCGCTGTGTGACACAGAGTGTTGGACTGGATGGGCCACTGGCCTGATCCAACATGGCTTTTGTTATGCTCTTATGCTATCAAGTCGCTTCCAACTTATGGCGACCCGATGAATTAATGCCCTCCAAAACTTCCTGTCATTAACAGCCTTGCTCCAGTCTTGCAGACCAAGGGCCCTTGTGGCTTCCTGGAAGGAGTCCATCCATCTCCTCTTGATTTGGAGCTATTGCTGCCTACCGGTCAATAGTCTTGCTTCCCACTTGCTCAACTTGTATGTGAAAAAAGAAAAGCTAACTTTTCTTAGATTTTTTTTTTAAATGAAACTGATGGGCAGTAGGTTCAGCATGGACAAAAGGGCATACTACTTTACACAGAGAGTTAGTAAAATGTGGAACTCATTGCCAGAGGATGTTCTGATGGCCACAGGAATAAACAGCTTTAAAAGGGGACGAGCTAGATTAATGGAGAATAAGTCTATCAATGGCTACTAGCCTTGGTGGCTGAGGGGAACCTCCACAGGAGAACCTCCACATTGATCTGATCCAGCAGGGCTCTTCAGATGTTCTTATAGAAAGACCTATCTTCCATGAATCTATCAATGGCTACTAGCCATGGAGACTGAGGGGAACCTCCACATTCAGAGGCATTAAGCCTCTGAATCCCAGAGCCAGGAGGCAAGAATAGGGGAGAGCTTCGGCCTCTCTGCCCTGCTGTTGGTCCTCCAGAGGAACTGGTTGGTCACTGTGTGAGATGGGATGCTGGACTAGATGGACCCTCACTGGTCTGACCCAGCAGGGCTCTTCTGAGGTTCTTCTCAGGGGAAGGCCTCGGGCTCTCTGCCCTGTTTGTTGGCCCTCCAGAGAAACTGGTTGGCCACTGTGTGAGGCAGGATGCTGGACTAGATGGACCACTGGTCTGACCCAGCAGGGCTCTTCTGATGCTCTTCTCAGGGGAAGGCCTCAGCCTCTCTGCCCTGCTGTTGGCCCTCCAGAGGAACTGGTTGAGGCCACTGTGTGAGACGGGATGCTGGACTAGATGGACCCTCACTGGTCTGATCCAGCAGGGCTCTTCTGATGTTCTTCTCAGGGGAAGGCTTTGGCCTCTCTGCCCTGCTGTTGGCCCTCCAGAGGAACTGGTTGGCCTCTGTGTGAGACAGGATAGACAATTGGTCTGATCCAGCAGGGCTCTTCTTAAGAAAATTTAAGGACCTAGACAGCTCAAATAGTCTTTCTCCACAAGTTCAGTTCAGCCGTGCTGCTCCAGAACCTCCTGCCACACAACAGCTGTGAATCGCCTCGAACTCAGTACCTGGTATGTCTTCAAGAAGCCACCCTTTCACCTTCTTCTTAGGGATTTGGATCACTTTCTCCGCTGCCCATGTCCCGTTCTGTGGGAAAAGCCACAACAAGGGAGGTTCATTCTGGCCTCATCACCATTAACATTTTAAAACTTATTCATTAACTTAAACCAGGGTCCCCCAAAGTGGCACCCATTTCCCCTTCAGGGTTTCTTTCTTCTCAGGTGGTGTGAGGAGAGAGGTATTCCGTTCAGCTTTGCCTCCTGTGGCGGCCATTTTGATTGGGCTTCTCCTCCTGTGGCAGCCATTTTGGGGGGTTTTCGGTTGTATAATTTTTAAATTTTTCATATTAACTCATTCAACGCTGTTAACATAGATTAAGATACAGGATCAACCACAGTTCTGTCCTTTTAAACAATAAGAATAAATAATATAAATGTTTAACCTTTGACTAATATTTTAAGCCATTTATACATTTTTGAGCAAGTATCTTCAAAATCCTTTTTTCCTTTACCTTTTAGAATATTTGTTAATCTATTCATTTCTACTACATTTAAGATTTTATACACGAACTCGTCCTTACCCGGTATAGAGTCTAATTTCCAGTATTTCGCAAACATTATTCTAGCGGCAGTCACACAATGTAATATAATTATTTTATCAGTTTTCACAAAAGTCTCTGGAATTAAATTAAGAAGAAACAGTTCTGGCTTAAAGGGTAACGAGGTTAATACTATGCCTGGAATCATTTTTTGAATAATTTTCCAAAAAGATTGTGCTTTACCACAGGCTAAGGTTGCCAAGTGGCACTTACCCTTCCGGCGGGGGACTCCAGTTCAGGAAGTGACGTCATGACGCCGGGGACACTGGGGGCGGAGCCACGAGCATACAAGGGAAAACCATAGAGTTTTCCCTTGTATGGCCGTGGCCCCGCCCCCAGCGTGCCCAGCGTCATGACGTCACTTCCCTGTGACGTGCACGCTGGGGCGGGGTTCCCCCCGGGGCCCGATTCCCCGGCGTCGGGGAACGGCCTCTGGGCAGCCCTACCACAGGACCACCACATGTGGTAATAAGAGCCAATATTTTGTTTACATTATTAAATTTAGCTATCTTTACTGGGTGTAAATACCATCTATTTACTACTTTATATATGTTTTCTTTAAAAGTCATAGATCTAATAATTTTAATATTAGTCTTCCAAATCTTGATCCATTCCTCCCAATCTAATTCATGTCCTAAATCCTTCGCCCATAACTTCATAACCACTTTAGATCATCTTGCATTTTATCATCCAGTAGTATTTTATAAAGTTTTTTAATACGTTTCTCCCCTGAATTCAGCCATATTTTATCAATCTCTCTTGGGTTTTTATAAAAACCTACTTTTTCATCCTCTTTGAATCTAGGTAACAATTGCCATCTTTCTAGCCAAGATAATATAACACCTGTGGCAGCCATTTTGGAGTGGCCTTCTCCACCACAATTTCAAATGTTCCCGCAGGCTCAAAAAAATTGGGGACCCCTGGCTTAAAATATGTCCAAAAGGGAAACAACCTTAACCCTGAGAACTGTCAGCAAGCTGCCATGGTGTTCT